TTTGATTAAAACCAGCTATTTAGAATTAGTTTCACGTAGGAAGTAAATGTCTACAGACAGACTGATGACATCATTACTGTATCCCACTTAACATTTTTTCATTAGAAGAATAAAGCTGAATGTGGTCCATATGAACATCATAACATAACATTTTGGGACAAAACAGCCTCACCATAAACCAACACCTTGGGGTACCTATACCAGACTGAGAAGCAATCTCTGGTCATGTGACCTCTCTGTTCCATACTGTATATAAATATATTCATGTGTCTCTGTAAACTACTTGTACCTGAGGATGACTTTTATTGTCGAAACGTCGTACATTTACATTAAAGTTTTTTTTTATTACCCATTCAAATGCAAATATTACCCATGTAGAATGGCTAGTCTCTAGATAGATGCCAAAAATACAAACAAACTACATGGTATGAACACATTTGGATATATGTACCAGGCACTGGAAGGGGAAGTTGACAAGCTCATAAGAGAAACCCCTGTATAAAAAAAGAAAGCACAACTACACTCGCAAGTTATCACCCTCCTCTGCACTGATAAGACAAAAATAGCAACCATGAAAGGTTTTCACCAACGTTTAGAGCAAATGATACTGCTGGAAAACCATTTTATGAAGTTATGAAAAGCAAAAGATTATTAACTTGTACGATGCGGATATTAGTGGTAAAGAAGTTTTAGGAGTATTACTTTTGCCACCTAGAAACAAGTTCTCTGGTTCCGAGATATTTACCATTGAGTTTTATGGTTGTTTTCTTACCCTTGTTCTTTTTAGAATTTGGGCTTTTTTGCATGGTATGTACGAGAAATAGGAACTGTTACATAATAGGAAGGGGGAGTTATTTCGCCTATTCCGAAAGGTGGTGACCGTCGGTATATTGCAGATAATAGTCATCTGTCCCACTTAAATAGTGATTATAAAATTATCAAAGTTTTTGGCATGTCGTTTCACTAAGGTTACTGAATAACTCTTCCCTGTTGACCACTCTGAGAGCATTCCTCGTAGAGATATGGTTGAAATACCAACTTTATTGAAATTAAAATAGGATTTTTTTACATGTTCATTAAATGGGGGTTGGGCTTACTTTTCAACTTAGATGTGTTTCAAGTTGATAATAGAAATAATCATTATTATTGATTTCGTCTTCTGGAAGTGACTGGATTTGGTAGTTTTTTGGTTTTTTTTCATAATTAGTCATACCTTTGTTATCACAAAGTTTTCAGTATGGTTAAATATAGTGGTTTCTTACTGATGTTTTATCTGAGTGGTGACGTATTTCTGCCCCCCAGTGGCACAGTGGTATGTCTGCGGACTTACAACGCTAGAAACCGGGTTTCGATACCCATGGTGGGCAGAGCACAGATAGCCCTTGTGCAGGTTTATGCATAATTAAAACAAACAAACGACGTATTTCTCTGCATTGTCTATAGTTGTCTTTGTTATTTGTTTTATGAGTAGAGCTTCTTCATAATATATAAGGGTTGATATCACACTCTTGTGATTATAAATTATATTGTAACAGCATGCTCTTCATTCTATTGGTCCGATAGTAGAAGTGTGAAGTAATTTAGTAGCCTAAATGCCCTGAATTGTCGAAGCTTATCAATTGGGATTCTGTGGCAGTCCATGGCATTCGTGTCTCTAGTGATCTTCTCTCAGTGTTGGGGATTATTTTTCATGATAATGAGATAGTTATTTTACAAAACTACTGGTAACGAGTTTTAGTACAATTAAAATACTTTTGATTTCGTTTCGGTAACGGAATCTTTCTTTAATGCGTAATTTGAGATAAGAACTCTTACCTTTCTTTAATCCCATTAGTAGGTTTTCAAGAACAGCTGTAGACATAATGTAGGTGGTGGTGGTATTCCAGATAATGCCCTTGAGCCTTGCAGGTCTAGGCCAAACCCATGCATAGCCATTGGACCTTCTCCTCTAATTGGTACTGCTGTTCTCTTGTTGGACCTCCTTAATATAATACAGGACCTGGATCTCTATCTATGTAGTGGCTGGTTCTTGGCAATGCCTTATGAAGGTGGTTTTTTTTCTAACATTGTTGATGGCTTTAGGTGGTACAATAACAGGTTCTATCCTTGGTGGTTCCTGAGGTGAATTACAGGACTATTTCAATGGTGGTGGCTTTATGTTAGCAGATGTTGAAGTGTGTGCCATTGTTCACTGGTAAAACTCACTACAAATTGTGTAACAGTCACTGGCTGTCGAACTTCTGGTTCCAGCTTGATAAGACCTGTCTTGTCTTTTGATCAATCCCCAGAAAGACCTTAGATCTGGAAAGGTATTTTTTGGTTTAGGGATTTAATGGTCCAGCAAAAGGTCCATGCACATTTGGTGATGTGTTATAGTGGCACATCCCCTAACTGGATACACTGGGCTGTTACTAATGCCCCAGCTGTGCTCTTCTTAATCTGTTCTTGTGGCAGCTGTGGAGTAGTGACATGAAGCTGAGCCAATTGAAGGCTGGGCTCAACTGGTGTATTGGCTACCAGTAGCATTAAGGTCCACCTTTTGGCAGCCTGGCCTGGATAGGTTGAGGAGTGGTCACATGAGGTCTACCCAGCATTAGGAGATCTAATAGCCAGTCTGTTGATGGATTTGGTGAGATCCCATGTGTCTGATGCCTTGCCTAGCAATGCCAATTCAAGAGTTAAGCTGGCTCTGGGCATCTTTGGAACAGTTGCAAGATCCAGGTACTCAACTTTGCTGAATATAGTGTTCTTGAAGCTTCATTCTTTCAAGTACTTCCAACTTTGAGTAATTTTAATTCATTTCTTCAAAATTTGCTTAAGATCTTACATGTTATGTAGTTGTTTTATAATTATACTTGAATAGAAACCAGCACTTGTTATTCTTTACAATTTTAATTTAAAAATGGAGTTAAGATTAAGATGTGAAAGATATTTAGTATCATACATTGTGGAGGTATTCAGTAGGAGACAGGTTGAAGTTTAGCCAGATACAAAGATATGGAAGCATTAATTAATTTCATTTCATTTGAGCCTCCTTGTGGCACAGCGGTATGTCTGCGGACTTACAACACTAGAAACCAGGTTTTGATACCCGTGGTGGGTAGAGCACAGATAGCCCATTGTGTAGCTTTGTGCTTAACTTCAAATAAACAAACATTTCATTTGAAAGTGTGATTGAAAATTATATATATGTATAATTATGACTTTTAAGTGTCTTACTTAAATGTTTTTGTTCATCTTGTATATTAAATTGAGTAGCCTAAAAGTTAATGTTGAATACCCACTGTATCTGTGTCATGAGTGAATTTTGCATCTTTGGTTGGCCAAAATTGGTGTTTGGGTTAAAGTTCCCTTCCAGGCTTCAATTCACTGTTTTTTTAAATTAGTTGTCTTTCTTTGTTAAGTAATAGTAAAAAGTAAAACAAAATTGTGTTATTTCTTTGTTGGTGGCATGCTTAATTTACAGCTTTAATTCTTGTTATCATGATGGTATTCCCATATTCTCTGATTTCCCTTAAAGTAATTGGGTAGGAGCCACAGAATAACAGGAGATTTCAACAGAAAATGTTTTATATAGCAAAGTCTAAATTCTCCAACCTTGACTTAGTCTCAAGTTAAGAAAGAGACTGGACACAAGTTAAACACAGTGAAATAATTTGTATTTTCAACAATCAAGGTTTTAAACAAGATTATTGAAGGCAAAAGCATTTGGATAGTTTTGCAGTCGTATAAAATGTAATACAAAAATAACATTTTAACTTTTTTTTTTGCTTTAATTGTTTGTTTATTTGTAATTATGCACAAAGCTATACAATGGGCTATCTGTACTCTGCCCATCACAGGTATTGAAACCTGTTGTAAGTCTGCAGACATACCGCTGTGCCACTGGGGGGCTTGCTTTAATACAAAAATATAGTTAATTGCAATTAAGCATCTTTTAAACTTACATTGTGAAAAACCAAAATTATTCCATTATTTTCTTACAACTGCTTCTTTTCAGTATTAAATTACTGTCTTTGCAAGCAATAATCATGTAGACCAACACTATCCCACTGTGCAAACTAGCATAGTGCATTTTTCTCCTCTATTCATTACTAACAAACCCTGTATTGTTTAAACACAATTTTTTCTTTTTGACAATGCTTTATAATTCTCTGTGTGCATCTTTCAAAAAGAATGAACATTTAGAGATCCTAAAAATCTGGATAAAATATAAATAACCTCTAATAACAAAACAATATTGTTAAACTCTTTATTTAATTCAAAGAAAGTTCATTGAGCTAAACAAAAAACAGAACTAATACCACGTAACAAGAGGTATCTTTCTTTGTAGGAGAATATTTTTATATTTGACTGTAGTGTCAGTAGAGACGTCTTTAAAGATACGTTCTTTATGAAGTAATAGAAAAATCCTATTCACAGTGTAGCAAAACTAATTCTGAGAGAAGCAGCATTTTTTTTTATACTCCCCTATATGTAATTCTTAAATCTTTACTGTCTTTTCTATTAAATTTCCACTTCAAATAAAAGCTCCATTACACTTTTAAAATACAAAATATTGTGGTATACTATTTATTTTTAAATTATCAAATTAAAGTTCTAGATAAAAAGAGCAAGTTTGGAATGTAAAATTGCTTAAAACTTAAAATATCAATAAATGCTACCTTAACTCCTGGCATAGTACTTTTATTATGTCTGTTAAATTCACTAACTCAAGAATTTTCAAAATGTATGTAATAATGAAATTAAAATTTGGGTACATTTATTATCAGAAAACACATGAACTTTTTTATATTAAGAGATAAACAAATAACTAATTAAAAGTACTTTTGTTGACCTAGTTTGGTGATCTTGGAATGATAGATATCTTTAACAACATTTAGTTACATACCAATGTTCTTAGACCATCTTGTTACTACCTTTACATGTGTGTGTTAGAAATGTTTTTTCCAAGAAGATGAAAAATTTTAATTGCATGTGTTAAAAATATATAAAATAAAGCAGGACCTATAAAATCATTTTGAAGCACTACTTCTGATAAACTTTATACTAAAAACAAAACAAAAATAATATCCGCTTCAAATGCACATCACAGTTTGATAACACTTAGAAACAGAGTACTATGGTAATATATACATAATAACATCCTGACTTTATGTGGAAAAATTATCTTAATAAAGCTACACTGTTAAACACAAATCACATTGCATATTGAAAATAACAGTAAAACTTTAGTTCAAGTAAATAAAAAGTACAAAGAAAAAACATAATTGAAGAAAAAGAAAACAAACTGGGATAAAAAGGTGTGTAATAAGAGTCTATAAAGTATAGTATGAATCTTCCCCACAGCTACAATCTGTTGGACTATACATTAGATTACCATTATTTTGATCTGAACTTTGGCTACTGAAATCTCTGGATCTTTGATGTCTTTGGTCTCCAGGTCTTCTACTGTGTCTCATCTCATCCCGGTAAAGAGCTGCTTGTGCTAAAATCTGTTCTCGTTGGATTTGTGTCTGAACATTGCGGGGGATGTCAGGTATATAATAAGCTATAAGACTTGTAACAAATATGACCAAATGCTGAAAAACAAATAATAAATAGGTAATTTTTTAATTTACTGATATATAACCTATAAATTTCATTTATCTTTTTCATTAGAAAAAAAAATTTAAATGAGAATAAGAAAAAATATTAAATATTGAAAAAACAAAAATTAGTGGGGTGTTATATGTTTTACAGCAACAAATGTTTAAAAGTACATTTTTTACATATTACTGAATCCATGTAAAACACATTAAAAATTAAATTTGCAGTTTAAATTATGAGTTATCATTCAACCCTAAGAGACCTCAACAAAAGTTTGTGATTACTGAAGTGTAATCTTGAGACTATTACATCAGAGTGTTATTATCTAGATTTTAAACACTTAAAATTAAACTTTTTGTTCTTAGCAAAAGTTTAAAAATAGAAAATACATTTACTTCACTTTAATATTCTCTAATGTAATTCTTTCATCACCTGATTGTCCTTTAAAATATCTGTAACTGCCAGATGATCCTAAACATACTTGAAATCCATAGTCTGGAATTAATTACTATCACTGTTCAATATAATTAGTTTGTTTATTGTTAAGGACAAAGCTACAAAATAGGCTGTCTGTACTCTGCCTACTGTGGGTATTGAAACATGATTAGTAGCATTATAAACCCTCGGATTTACTGCTAAATCAATAAGGTGTTTCAGGATAGGAAGATCAAAACATATAAAATGAATTGCTACCTTTAGGTCCATGACTTTGTAATAAACTAACTTACCTCAAAGACTACAATAAAAGCTAGTCTAGCAGCAAAAATGTGCCAATACTGTAAAGAAAAAGTGTACTTGTTCTCATAACTTGGTGGATGTCGATAGTCCAAATATCTAGATAAAGTAAACACGGAAAAAAATCTGACTTTCCCATTGGAACATTACTGCTAACACTCAATATGTAAAATTATGTTTGTTAATAAACGATGAAAACTTTTGCTTCCATTTTTTGTCAACATGGATGAAATTTTTTAAGTAAAGTTTAATAAACTGGAAATCACATTTCAAAGAGATTATTTTTAACTCGCATAATAACATTACTGATATGCTGGTGTTTACATTCTGCATAATATGTTTTACTGACTGACTTGGTACTAAAGTGAACATTGTTAATGAAAAAAAAATTATTACAGAGATATTTCAATTTTTAAGCTCTTCAATACAGGAAACAGTATGAAGACATGCACATTAATTCTCAAATTTAATCACGGCTGTTTGATTTAAAAAAAATTTTAAAGTTGCTAGACTCATTAAAATTATTTTGCATACATTTAAGAAAATAAGTGTTAATCTAAGTAAAACTAATAATAATAATTTATTTTTTACAGTTCTTGTTATTGTTTGTAGTTAAGCACAAAGCTACACAATGGGCTATCTGTGCTCTGCCCACCACGGGTATTGAATCACAGTTTCTAGCGTTGTAAGTTTGCAGACATACCGCTGTGCCACTGGGGGGCATTTTACAATTCTAATGTGTTAGTATTAGTAGTGATCATTCTTGGGTTCAACAAGATTTTTATTTAAAATATCTTTTTTTTTACAGCAAGAAAATGTCTGTAAAACCATATACTGCTATTTCTAGTTATTGTAAAAGACTGTGTAGTAAACTTTTAGAAGATCATAAATTTAAGACTGAGACAAAGTTTCCATTCTTAATAATATGGATAACAATTTATTTAAAATAATATTTGAAAGTAATTTAATCTCCCCTGTTCTGATGTTTTAAATTATTTGTAATTGCAATGCCTTTATAATAGGGCAACAGGAAAGAAAATAGCCTGTAGACTTAATTAGCATAAACACATAAAGTTTTTCGTTATTCATATATCTGTGAAAACTTTAACTTTCTGAGTGCTGTTAGAATTTTAAGAACAATTTTGCTTTGATAGTACCTCTACTAATAAATTTTTTAATCCTGTTAAAAACATCTAGGTAGTCCTGTGTATCTTTTTTTTTTTGTCAAGAATGATTTCAACTTAAGGCAATATTACAAACTAATCCTATTCATCAGTTTCTATATTTCTCTTAAAACAAAAAACACTCAGCAACTGTGGAAAGTATGGGTTGTCTGTTCTAGAAGGAGGACAATACATCAAGTCCCGGGAGTAGGATATCCCACCCAAACATGAGCATGTTGGGTGAGCAGCCTGCAGAGCTTTGTTCATTTGCTATAGACACTATCATTGTGCATATTAAGTGCTCATCCCAGTCAGTGTGGCCATGATTAACAAACTTTCATAAAATACACTTGATAGTTTGTATCACCCATTCTTTTAAACCATCAGATGAGGTGCATGTCTTCACTGCACTTAATATTTTACACACCTCGGAGAAAATAAGCTACTGAAATTATATCTTTGATTCCAAATCATGTTGTCCAGTGCTCAGCAAAATCATCAGCCATGGACTCTGTCTGTTGATGTATTGATAAGCCTTGACCAACATTTTGAAGTAGTTGATGGCACTGAGTATGTAATGATGGCTTTTCACAGTATCTAGAAGTGGACCAATGATATCCTGAATGATATCTTCTACAGAGGTGATCTGACAATTCTCTACTGAAATTTATCATGCCTCAACTAGTTCTTTTATTTGGTGTCACACACTATATCTCATTCCCATCAGCATCAAATAGCTTGACTCAAATTCAGGGTAGAAGAACTGCTGTCAAATGTTAGCATAAGTGAGGGTAACATCTTGGTGCCCTCCAGTTTTTGTGTTATGCACAGTATGGAGAATTAATTGTCTTAGAGCTTTGGAGACCACTAGCTGTAGCACAATTTGAGAACCATGGTTTGGTGGTTGATAGAAATGCTATAGAAAACTTTCCTACACATAAAACGGATCATACAAGTACCACAGGTTATGTGTGTCTCTTGTATATTCCTTAGTTTGAGCTGGCCAAGCTTTCCTTGTTGCACAGCAATGAGTGTCCATGTTATACGTAGGTATTTCTTTTCTTTTTCAAGAGCTCCATCAACCAGTGAATTTCGTACTACATGGTTTGATGCTGCTATAGTAGAAATGGTTTCAACTACCAAATGGTGCCCAAGATAAATGAACATGGCCTAACTGTGTCATGAGATAATCCTTCTGCATTAGCATGTTGCAGTCATATTCTTGCTCTGGTGTGATCCAATGTGCTAACATTTCTTTCAAGCATGATTATACACTGTACTTTGTCCTGCAACTGCAATAATACTGCTTAAATTCCATTATTCCTAGCATTGCATTCCAATAAGAATTTGCTGTCTTATCATGGATATAACAACACTGTAGCATTCATTAAAGCAAGATTATTTACATTTCCAATTCCATACAAAATGTGTTTTAATTTAGTGAGAGCAAACAAAAGTGCTGCTATCACAAACCATCAGCAATACATTACAAGACCAAGGAAAGTGCGGACTTCTTGCTTGGTCAGTTGAAGCCAGTCTCTCACTGATGCTGTCGTAGCAGAGTATGTAGAAACTCCATTTATCTACCTACAAGATGACTGAGAAATTCTGTGCACATTTCCTTATTTTCAGTTTAAAGTCTGCTTTTTTACCCACTGAAGTACCATTATCAGATTCACAAACTCAAACATTTGACCAAATAGCAAAACATCACTGATGTAGACCAGGCATCTCTCTCACTGAAGCTCCTTCAATGTAAGTTCCATTAACTTTTTGAAAGTGGCAGATGCATTACCTAAGCACAATGGCATGACACAAAAATCATACATCTCTCTTGCTAAAAGCAGTTTTATGTTTGCTTTTGTCATCCAGTTCAACCACTTGGCCTTCTGATCCCATATACTCATCCAACAAATCACTGAGTTACTTTCTCTGGGTTGGGTCCAGACTGTTTGCACAATCCTCAACCAACAATCTCAAAAGTGTTGGTAGCCACATTCTTGCTTTCAGATGAACCCTACTGTTACTACTAGCCTTGATTATTTCCACTTTATTTAACCCACTGATGACCATTTCTGCATAAAGCTGAATAGCTGATCATCCATGATAACAGAACAACACTGGAACTTCATCTCTCCTACGACAGATAACTGCCTGAGCTAATGCTGCTTGCTTTCTTGGCAGAAAACAATTCATTTTATGTGGGGCTTTATAACTATGTTATATAACACCAACACACTAGACTTCTTCCCTGTAAGCCATGAAATACCACTTGTGTACATGGAGATACTGTTATTCCTTTTGCTACATACTCATGCAGTCCACTGTTCCTGGGCTTAATCTGGTTGACATCAGATAACTATCCCACGAAAAATCAGTGTACCAACTGCCCAAGCAACTGACCAATAATTTCCAAAGTACATGTATTGAGGATGCCAATGCCAAAAGTAAGATTATTCTCTTTTGAGCCTTGAACTTAGCCCAATGGATTGCTTAATTCCCCCCCTGGGTCAAATCACCAACACTACAGTATCCAAATCTTCCAGTTGCATCTCACCTAGTTACTCAGTGAAGTCCAGGGCAAGACCATCCAAGCTCAGGAGCAGATGTTGTACTGCTTGATACTGGGATAAGCCATTCCAAGCAGAAACCTGTCTGAAAAACTTTAGAAAATAGTTAAGATATTCTTTTGCTACATCTTTGAACATCTACTTGGCTTCACTCACAGGGAACTGTGGTGATGGCCAAAGCTTATTTTAGGTTTCAGAGATTGCTTGGCTGAAATACTGCTGACATTGTAGCTATGGCACAGGGTAGCAAAGCAACAACTTGCTCTTGTTGGAAGGTCATTCAGATTGTTTGTTTGACCCCAGGTTTCTTCATGATTGATGGGCACACTGGCAGGATACTTGTCAGGGAAACAGCTCTGAATGACAAGAAAAACAGAACCAGTCCTTCTCACTTGGTATTGAACAGAGTTGAGCTTGAATTTCTCCGGTTAGTGACACTATTGGACTCATGTAGAAACCATCCCATCTAGTCTTAGACTTGTGAAATGCCATTCCATCTCCACAATTCTCAGTCATCTGTGGTTCCCTCGCATTAAAGTAGATCTTTAGGTAAACCAGATGTCAGATAATCTTCCCTAGCCTGTGACTACAGACAGAAGAGATGTCACAGAGCATTGTAACATCTAAAAACAAAAGTCTAATGTCCAGGAGAAGACTTCTCCTAGATTCAACATCTCTCTCATACAACCACTTCTCTTCAGTGGTTAACTCACCCTCTTCGAATCCTTATTATATCAAAAACACAGCAAATATGTGCGTGTATTTGCTTATGGTAGCTAGAAGATCATCTTTCACTGGATTCATGAGTTGATTAGACTGGCTTTCTTCCTTTGAGATATATTTCCTGAACCAATTCGTTCTAGATATGAAGCATCCATGTTTTTCGAATGTTCCATACTTGATGGGAAACACTGGACTTTATATTCTTATTCAAAAATAGAGCCTCGGCAAGTGGAAGGGCCAAGCTAATGCCAATTGGTAATCTAATTTTAGATTTGGCTCCATTATGTGTCTCTTTGCCCTCCCTCTAGTTAAGAAAAGTTGGAACCAGGACTGAGCATGAGGAATACTGTAACCTGGAGATATCAACTGGCCTCAGGGCCAGCCTTACAAGGGTGCAGGGCCTGAGGTGAGTACTAGTACTCAGGTTTAGGTTCTTGAGTACTCATCTATGAGTATGTTTTGTTTTTTTCTTTAGAAGACAAACAGTTTATTGAGCTAACGTTCATTACACATATTTTACTCAATATATAAGTCTTTATTATCTTAACTCCTTAAACCCAAGTGGATGCTTCAAGCATCTGGCTGAAAATCCTGATTTACCATCAGATGGTGAAAACATCCAATAACATTTGTCTCTTTGGCTGAAAACTAATCCAAATCATGTTATTAGAAAATTTAAATTTTATAAGGTGTAATGATAGTTATTAGGAAATAACAAAAATATTGCTGGCAGAACGCACAAAAATTATGGGTTTAGAGTTAATTCATCTTTATTTTCTAATATCATTAAGAACCCCAGTTTATTTTTGGAGTAGTATAACTTTAAGTACCTACCTGCAGGTATGTACATGCTTTCCATCTAAAGTCATGGTTTCTGGTTTATTTATATCAGTAAAGTCACTTGTGTCAAAATAAGACAAAGAATTGTTTACATATCCTGTCAGGCTACCATCATAGCTGTAGATGAACATATACACAAGTCGGGGGATAAAATTAGTTGTGTAGGCTATTAAGAAAGACTGAAAATAATAAACAGTATTAAATACATACACTGTACCTCTGGCTATTAAAACATAAGAAAGTTTAGAATGCTTTATAATTAAAACACCAAGTGATACAAGATATTTCACAAGATAACCTACAAAAGAAAAAAAAAAGGTTCAAGACAAACTTTAACTTCAGGAATAAAGTCTATAACTATATATTCCTCTAAAATTTTAGAAATTAAGTATGCTAAATTACAAGTTCACGTTCCCAAACCAAGATGGGGTTAGGTGAAAGTATTTTAATATTATTAAACTTTTAAAAGGCTCATCCACTGAGATTAATCATTTTATTTAATGTTTTGAAAAATATTTAGGTGATTTTACCATTACAACTCAGGAAATAAAATATTATACATTTCTTTTGGGTTAAAGATTATTTAAAAATTTACTTAATAGTTAAAAATACAGAAAGTTTTTCCCAAATAGTTACTACAGTATCCTAATTCATTTAAATTATATTTTTTTTAATTAAAATGAAAATGCATTTAAAATTGAAGGCTAGTAGTCTCTACTTCAGTATATTTGATAATACAGGTAATTATAACAATCATTTGTAGATTAATAACAACAATTATGCACATTATTTTTGAAATAAAACAAATTACCCTTGACAGTAATATTTCATTATCAATTCAAATACTTATTTTTTAATAAGGGAAAATGATTCGTTTCCAATTTATGATTTTCCTTCTATATCAAGTACAGTGTAGTATAATGAATAGTGATGTTATAACTCACTTAAACAGTGAGCCAATTGGCATTTTATACTAATTCAAATTAACTTCTAACCAGAGCTCCAACTTAGAGCAAAACTAAGCACAAATATTGTAAGGAGTATAGGTAATTAAGTATACTTTTCTTAGATTCTTACTTACACAAATCAGAATGGAATGTTTCATCAATTCAGTATCCTTGCTGTTAACCATATTTTCTAAAATAAAGTTACTTTGTTTTCAGAAATGAAGACATTTACCAAATTGATAATTTTTTGTTCAGATCTGTTGCTAATTGTGTTCATGCAAACTAACAGCTCACACTAAGTACATGACTCACAATTATGAGGTTGGTTGATGAGGTGTGGTACAGGTTAATATTTCTACATGGTTATGACTCTTTAACTAAATTTGTATTTAGTACTTTTTTGAGCTGACGCCAACCTCTTGATGTATTTTTTTACTCTATTTCATGCAAGTAAATCTATATTCATTCTGTATGCTGGTACCTTATATGAATATACAATTATTACAACCTGATAATACATGATTTTTAACATTCTACATGTATATACATTTCATCATATATTGACATATATTGATTTTGTGATATTTTCAGGTCAATCTGTTTTTCCCTCAGAGCAGCAAGATAGGTCTGCAGAATAACAGGAGATTTGACCACGATATTTATCACAAAGTAATTCTGAATTCTCTGACTAACTGAGTAATCCAGTTAATCATCAGGAAGACTTCAACTCCAGGAATATATTTCATGGCTTTTGGATGTAATGATCCCACCAGGAGTGGGTGACAGCTGATAGCATTTCATCAAGGTGCTTAGGTATGAACTGATAGAATACTTGATGGGTGGCTCCTGGTGTTGTTATGAGGACTGTTTTGATTTCATCTTCACTGAAATTTGTCTAGGTATTGGCAGCATCCTTGATTTTGCCATTGGTTTGAATCTGATGACTTTTCAGCTAGCTCCAGCTCATCAGGATCAATTTAGTGTTGATTGGTTGGCCAATGGTAAGCAGAGGCAGCTAGGCCCTGGGAGATTTCAGGGCTAGCCTGAAAACAAATGTAATGATGTAATGCATATAAGATGCATTAAACAGCAACCCAACTTTATCCATGAGTTCTGTCATGCTGAATATCAGGCCAGCAACAAGAGTTAGAGGTAAGCTGTGTAAGCTAGATCTTTGCCAAAGAGAAAGTCCTGGACACGCTGGTTCTTATATTCTTGTTCTACATTACTTCCATCATGCAGCATTAGAAATGAATAGTCAGACTCTATAATAAAACCAGATAAAACACTGGGTACACCAAGTATACATTTGTTATGATATTTAAGCTAACACTTGTGAATTTAATGTAATACACACCGGTAATTTCACCTACTCGTGAATATTTCAATTCAATCCAATCAAAATACCCTGTATCACTATTACCAAAAAACAACAGGTAAAATGGTGTTTTATCTTGTAAACATTTCAGTGTCAAAACTGAAGCATTCTCTCACAAATATTAATGAAAATAACAGGTGCACTATACCTTCAAATAATACCTTAGAACTCAGCAATCACAGTTATCCTTAGATCACAAGCAGTGTTGAATTTGGGGTGGGGGTGGGGGATTTCCCCTGTGCAAAAAATTCCTCCCTTGAATTACAGTATTTTCCATTTTGTCAAACTTGAATTCACCCCCACACCCTCCCAGCTTCATATTCCCTTTCCCCAGTGAAAAGGCCTGGATTCAACACCAATCACAAGGGCTTAGTGTCCAGATCAAATCCTTTGTTTCCATTCACAAGTTGTTTAATAGTTGTGTTTTTTATTTAATGTTCCTACATGTGTGCAAGACCACACATATATAGCTATTAATACATGTATGTCAACAATACATATTGTAGCATACACCAGTAGCTTATATCAGACTGCTTCCAGCTCATTTGCAAATTACTTGGTAGCCTTCTATATCTGTCTCAAAAGTTGTGTTACCATAATGAGCTGCCAGCTATCTATGAACCTTCAAATTCAACACATTTTTCTTTTCAAACATAAAAAAATAAGTAATCACTATCAGAATTTAACCAAACTTGAAATTTTCAGATAAAATTCTTGTAAGGCAAAATTAGATTAACATTCATGCTATTACTATAATATATGTATATATCAATATATATTCAGAAGATTAACAACTCTCTCACTATATGAGGAGAAGCTGTGTATACTCTTCAGATGTAAAAAGTAAAATCCAATTAGGATCATGCAGTGTGTGGTCTGTATAGCTCCCACCACTTGATCGGAGCAGATAAGTGATTCTTGTGAAGTATCAGATGAACTTTGGTCTTAGAAAGCAAAGGTCTAAAAGCCCTTTCACCTGAGCTACTAGTCATAACCCTCAATTGTGCTGTTGATAATCTACTACAATCCTAACAATGTAAATCCAGCAGCTGTCAACAGATATTCCATAGATTTCTCTTGGAGTGAAATCTTGCTTGGTATCTCAGAAAGTAAGAGTCGTAAGATCCTTTGGTGCGAATGATTTAACTATCAACAAACCATCTTAACTCTATGTAATCAGTGGTAATCATACTATGTAGTTCATATATAAAACAATATAATATAACCCAATAACACAAAAAGCAAATGTCACAATGCTTTTCCAACTCCAAGGTATTTTCAGTTGTACATTCTGTTGATGCACTCGACATTACATCTGCTGGCACCAGTCCTCCTTGCTTTATGATAATCAAGTGGAAATCACACAGTGTAGTACATTGTATGTTGAATATATCTTGATAACTTGGAAAGGAAGAATTGTGACCTTCTTTCAAGCACTGATTTTTCAGCCAAATGTTTGTACTAGCTGCTAATATCCATGGTTAATATCAGAGATATCAATCAAAAGGCCATCACTGCCATTAAAATGACTGTCAGAACTGTATTTTACCTCTAGATATAGCCAAATAAGTAATTTTAGCTCTTTTTTCACCTTGTTTTTTGGGTCAGGGTGGTAAGCAACAGCAATTTTATTTTCCTCTGAATTGTTGGTCTCTTCCTCTGATTCCTGGTCAAGCCAGTGCACAGAAGGTACATCAGTAATGTACAAACAAAGCTGATCAACATGCACTGTGCACTTTTGTGCACCTCTCAAATGCTGTACTTTATACATCAGAGAAGGGGATAAGGTCCTGTCCTGTCAGAGCTCAGCCACTTCCATACTGCTGGCATGTTCTAAAGCCACACCCAGTCTCCACTCTAGTACATTCAATCTTTCACTGTCTTATAATGGCACATCTTTTGACATACAGTGATTTTTCCTAGTTGTTGATGCACAAACTTTTGCATGTTAACTAACACAGACCTTAAACATTCCACATATTCTTTTGGATGCTGTGAGGCATCTGTTCTGGGGGAGGAGAGTTCACCATATCAATAGAGAGCAAGCTTTCTCATAACATTAGTATACTTTGCAAATAGATCAATTGTTTTGTACACCACCATGATGTATGATAAGTGCCTTGACCAGGTCAGTTTGCTTATTATTAACAAACTAAGCAAACATATACTTGATAGTCCGTACCACCACTGTGATAAACCATCAGTCTGTGCTTCTTCATCACACTCAACACTTTACACAACTCAGAGAACAGCTGGCTGTTGAAATTAGTCCTCTGATTCATGTGGATCTCTTCTGATGCCCAAGCTGGGCTATCCATTGTTCTTCCAATGCATCAAAGATACAATGTGCTGATGCATCAACTAATGAATAAGCTTGGGCCCACATTGTGATGTAGTCAATATCCACAAGTATATACAGATCATTTCATTCCGTCTCTGAGTGGGCCAGCAATATACAGGGCCATTTTATATAAAGCAGAACCAACAATTTTTTGTAGGAATTCACCCTATTTAGGCCAGTTTTCCTCTGAACATAATGTACAACATTGGCACTAGCACAGAATATCTTGACTCGAATGCGATCAATAGAATTCCTGTCAAATTTTAGCACAAGTGAGGGTTACATCTTGGCATCATCCAATCTTTGTGTTTTGAAAACCATGCAGAATTTCATGCTTTAAAGCTCTGGGAACCATTAACTGTAACACTGCTGAGAACCATGGCTTGGTGATTTGTAACGATGGTACATCACCTCTTCCTACACCTATAACTGTTTATAAAAATCCTTTATGTTGTGTGCATCAATGTGAGATGGCCAGGCTTTACTCTGCTGCATGGCAAGGAGCAACCATGTTAGATCTGGTTCCCCTCATCCTAAAATTCAAAGTGTTAATTGTATCAACTATCCATTAATGGAATATCCTCCTCTATGGCTTGTCATTGCTATGGCAGAAATGATTTCAACTTCTGCATGGTGTCCAGGGTCAAGACATTTGATGAACAGGCCACAGTGAGACAATCTATCGGCATT